CTTCCATTTTATTCTTACAATGATCCTGTGAGGTAGATTAGGTTTAAGGAGATTGGTAGCCTGGGGTTACATTCTGTGATAGAGTGGCGATTTGAACTGATCCTAGTCCAACACGATAACCGCACTGGCTGTAGTGTATTCTGTCAGATTATAAATGTAGAGGCACAAGTGCAGAGATAAGTTTATATTTGTAAAGTTAGGTTACACCAGTTGACAATTTGAAGATTCAAGCATGAGAGATGTGGGCGTGTACTGTGGGTCTCTGTCAATCTTATCTGTGAGACAAACTTGAAGTCTGATTGGCTGTCACGTCTGTCTTAGTCGTATATCGAGATTCTGCGAGTGACAGTTATTTTGTTCCTCACTGTCAGTTGGTTTTTTCTGAGAGTTTAACTGAAATAGCTCTATGTTGGTCTGTTGGAAAATAACTCTAGATCTATACAAACTGTTGTTTAATTATTCACCAGTAAATAGTTAGAAAAATACCATTTAAACTTGACCGTGTTTGGTGTGGTTCTTTTGAGTCTTCCAAAACAAAGAAACATTAACAAATATTTTTAACATATTCTGGGGCTAGAGTTGGTCAGAAATGCAAGCATTTTATTTATGTAGTCCATTTTTCTCCTGCCCTTTCTCCAAGGAGCTCAGAGTGATACTCATAATTTTCCTTTCCATGTATCACTCTTACAACAACCCTGTGGTGTAGGCTAGAGGGAGAGTGACAGGCCCAAGGTTACCCAGCAAACTTCATGTCAAAGTGAGGATTTCAACCCTGATCTCCTAGTCCAACAGTGACCACAAACTGTGGTCACATGTACTGTAAAGAGGGAAACTGACTACTAGGTATGAATGATTGCTTTAGGATGGCATAAAAAGATGCACATATATAAAAGGGGCAGTAGGAATAATAGATACTGTGGAATCAGGCTGAAGATGCAGAAGGTGTCAGAGATACACTTAACCACTTCTCTGAGATACAATAACAGTACTTGAATAAAAACTGTAGGCCTAACCAGCTGCTAACTGGAGGGCAAACCTGCTGACCCACTGCATGCCAGGTCTGACCATCTAGCTCAGGATCGAATGGTAGCAGGCCTCGCTACCCAAGTGCTGGTAATAGGACTGACATGGAAAATGTGTTCTGGGGAACTGTGGCTGTTCACTTGTTTGAATGGAACAGTTGCAGCAGGGAAGCTTGTGTATTATAGAGGGCTTATGGTGACCCGTAGTTTTAGCTAAATAAATTTAATGGAGCACTATAGGGGGACTGTTCATTATTAAATTATACATGATAGCCAGCTGGTTTAACTTTGTATTGGACGGACATCAGTGTTTAAATCAGGAGAAAGAGGGAAATGTGTTAAGGGCAGCCTTGTAGACTCCGTTATTGCTCAGGGAACTAGAAAATACTATATCCCTGTTTGTTGTATAAATTAATTTGAATAATTACATGAGGTAATTGAAATGTGACTCGCATAAAACAGGTGAATAATCCGGCTTGCATTCACATGGGATCTCCAGATGGGGTCCCCCCATGCTTTTGGAGTCTGTGGAGTTTAAATTAAGGATTAGTAGAACATTCCAGGAGAAATGGGCTAATGACCTACTTTTCAAGTTCTATTTCTGCAGTCATTTGTAGAGTTTCTAAGTAGGAATCCTTTCAAGAGTGGGTGGTTCCAAAACCATGCATGGGTGTTTAGTAACACTTGGATCTGTAGCAGGCAGTGATTTTTGGCATGTGCTGTCAGACTGCTGACAGCTTCCAAAGCAGTCACTAGCGTAATGAAGGGGCTAGCTGAGAGAACTCTCGGTTATTTTTGAAAGGCCCAACCTCTGATGGAAGACCCGGAAACCTTAAGAACAGGCAAGGCATCCAGGGCTAGAGTGATGGAAACCCCTGCACTGAGGGCTTCTTCTGGCATTGCACATCAAATCAGGGAAGTAGAACCCCAGTTACTTACAATTCTCCCTTTCAAGATTTTGGAACAAGCAGAGCAGCATCTCCATCCTTCTCTCTCTCCATGCCATGTCAAGACCCTGTACTTTGAAGGCAGAGAGAATTCATGCCTCTGGGGGTGGGGGTACGATGGCAGGACTTAAAAGGGGGTCAGAGTTGTAATTAAAACTCTGGTGATGATTATGGGTGGTCCTGGATACTTGGCATGAGAGACTCGCACTGCTTGTGTTACAAGTCTCTCACGCTTCCTCTCGCATAGATAGATAAATCCAGTTCAGAGGTGGTTTGCCGTTGCCTGCCTCTGCTTCGTATCCCTGGATTTCCTTGGTGGTCTCACATCCAAGTATTAACCAGGGCTGACCTCGCTTAGCTCCCAAGATCTGACAAGATCAGGCTAGTCTAGGCGATCCAGGTCAGGGTCCAGTTTCATTAGAAAGAAAACAATACCATTCTTATTTAAAATTAGGGTTAGAACAGTGAATGCACCTTTCAAAAGACCCCCCTGTATGCGTCAGTGTAAGCAGAGCCCATTAGCCAAGGGAAATCTCCCACCATGGATTGCTTGCAGAGCCCATTAGCCAAGGGAAATCTCCATCATGGCCATTCCTAGGGTGTATTTCCCATCTTCACCCTCTATTGCAGATGGTTGTTCTTCCTCTCCTCTAAGTCTGGTATAGATCTCGCTATGTAGTTTTCAAAGGCGTGGACATTTTCTTCTGATGTGTGTGCCCTTACGAGCCTCTCCCTCTTCTGTGTTACTCTTGTTCCAAAGCAGCTGAGTCTGGGTTTTCACTGGGATGGCCGCTTGGCAGTGAAGGAGAACCAGCCACTTCCTGCTGCTGGAGTCTGCCAAGAGCAAGTCCTGCCTTCACTGCCAGGAATTCCCCACCACCATATGTGGTCAGGAGGAGGACGAAACAGCTGCACAAATCCAATTCAGGGCCTGCCTCTCGGCTCCACACCAGAATAACTTTCCCACTGTTAGTTTCTGATGACTTTGTGCTCTTGCAGCAGGCCTGGCTGGGAGGCCAAACCAATCACTAGATGCTCTGTAATGTGGAAGGGGGCAGCTGGCACAGGGACTTGGCACCAGGACGTAGATACACATGCCCAGCTGTCTTGCAGTTTTAGGCGGAGAACAGAAAGGAGCACCTTCAAGGAATGCGAAATCAAAGTACGCTGGTATAGGAAGCACACTAGTATAGTATAAGAAGGTATGTCAGGAATAGGGGTGTACTGGAAACTGCAGATTGGAAACACCCCCTGAACCCACAGTATGAACAAAATGTGGTAGGCATACATTTGTAAACAATAGCATACCAATAATAAGTGTGTAAATACACAGAAAACGAAACAGTGTAAACATCTAGTACCTCAAAAAGAAGCTAACACACATGGCAAACTGTGGATTGCTGGGTAAACTCCATTTCAAGTAGCTCTTCATCAAGCCATTTCTGGGTTATCCTGTTTACTCTTACTTAAAACAGCCACCAATTCAAATCAAGGAGCCCCCAAAAAGGTCTCTTGCCCTGATGCTGTTTTGCATCTCATATAACATGCAGTTTATCATGGGTGTTAACTCCTTTTTAATGTTTATAACTGTTTTTGTGTGTTTGCACCCTTTTGATTGATACACTGAATATGTTGACAGTTATGCTTTGTTGCATTTGTTCCTATTGTGGGCTCAGGTGACATTTTCAGTTGGCACTTTACAATGCACCCCTCTTTTCGACATACCTTCTTGCAGTTTTATTCAGCATAAATAGCATGGTAACATTATAAGCAACAGGATTGGTTCTGGCAATTGAAGCACGTTAATATTTGAAAATATACATCATGTTCTCTACCAATGCGGATGATAGCAATGATTTTTACTATGTTTATGATTAGTTTTAAGAATTGTTTTAGTATTAAATTACGGTTGTTATTATAATATGTTGTAACTTGTCCTGAGCCCTGCAGTGGCAGAGGAGGGCAATTCATAAATCAAATTAATTAAATAAATAGCTGGACAACTCCAAAAAGAGAAACAGCTTAAAGAAGTATTTTTCATGCATGTGCAGTTCCCTGCAAGTCCTTGTGAACAACTTTGCTAAATAGTAGTGTGATATTAGATAGATTCTCTAACCCATGTGAGATTGTGTGTTCCAGTATGACAGACCAGGAATATTTTCTGTAATTCTCTGACCAGGGCAGAATGGATGCAATGAATCCTGTTTATTGTGGCTGGAGAGAGGAATTCCCCCTTATGAGAGTGCTGTTTGATAGCTACTGGAGAAAAAACTGCCGATTAGAGGGCTGCATATTTCAGGAGTTGCTCAGAGTGCCTCTCTTCCAATGAGGTTTCTTTTTTAACAACTCTGTGTTTCAAAACCCACCCGGAGATAATTGAACCCTTTATACTGTTGGTATAGAAATAGGAAAGATAAGGAAAAGAAGGAAGGCAGAGCAAGCAGCGGCATCAGGTGACTGCTAAGTTATTTCAGTGCCGCGCATGCATGTGACAATCAGATGTCAAGCACCCTCTCCTAACCAGGTATGGACTTATTCCTGAAGCAATCACTACAGGCAGAGAAGCCAGAGAGGACCCGATGTTCCTTCCTCCATTCTTGTTACTTTTGAAAAAACTGAGCTCCAATCCTAGATGAGCATGTGGGTGTGCCTGTGCTGTTCCTACTCTTTGCTGCAGGGTGAAAATATCTAAGGCTGGTGAGGCATCTAAAGGTTTGTATGTCATAAAGGCTGCGTGAGATGACAGTTGCATATGGGACTTGGCAGGGATAGTTTCTCCCAAAGGAAGATGCTTGGTGGGGCAGTGCAATATGTTCACAGACTAAGACGCCCCAGGCTTGTAAAGCAACCAAAGATTGTGATGAACAACGAAAAGGAGTTAAAAGTTCTGGGAAAACAGTGGCAATCCTAGAGGCAAATGTGGCTTCTTAGAGACTGTCAAATTAAAGTCATCTTTTTGTGAAGACTGTAATAAGCAGAGATGCTTAAACAGTTATAAGCCGTTCCAGTAACATCTCGTTTTCCTTTGAAGGCTCATCAGCAAAGCCGAAAAGCTGACCGCTTGGTGGCAGCAGGGAAATACGAAGAAGCAATTGCTTGTCACAGAAAGGCATCTGGTGAGTATGTAGGCTGTTTTGTACCCGGCATATGCATTCTTAAATAGACATATCACATGTGCCATGGCCTTCATAGGGGCAAATTCTGTGTCTTAACAACCTTGGACAGTGCAAAAACCTGCATCTGGAAGCTGATACCAGATGTGTATATATAGGCTTTAGGGCATGTGCAGGAACCTTGGTGAAGGTAATTGGGTCTGGGCCTAGTTAGTACCTGTTTGGGAAACTTTCTGGGCCCCCTATGATTGGGTTCTGTTATGGAAGAAGGGCATGGTAGAACTGTAACAAATAAAAGGGGGGGAATAATTTTCAGTCTTGACAAGGTGATTGTAGAGAAGCAGTGATTGCAGACACAACAGAATTGCTCTTCTGAAGGTCACACCTCAGATCAAGAAAACTCTTTCACAGAGGTATTTAGTAGTGCAATCCTATGCAGATACCCCAGTCTAAGCTTAGGGTTGTAGCTGCCAGAACTTTAACAGAAAGGGAAGCCCTTGCACTCCGGAACATCTGCTGTGATTAAAAACTCTTGCAACAAGCTTCTTTAAAACATTGGTAGAACTCCAGCGTTGACAGACAAGGTTAAAGTGGCAAAATCCACTATCTTGATTTTTGTAAACTTGTTACAGTACCCGTCATATGTGCATTTCCTGGGGCTGAGGATTTAGTCACAACCAGGCTTTTGAGGCTTCTCTGTGGCCTAAACATTTCTTATTTTGTGTTTACATAGCATATCTTTTGGAGGCCATGAAGCTGACACAATCGGATCAGGTGAGATTACACTCGTTAAGTTGCAATAATGCTACCTCTGGGAGTGACTCATCTGTATGACCATAAGAATCAACGGGCAAGCTTGCATTCTAGAAAGGCAGAACACTGTAGGGGAGGGGTAAGGAAGGTCATGCCACTGAGGCATGGAGATGCAGTTTCACTTCTGGAACCCTGTCTGGTTAGCTGAGTTGCTGTCAGGTTGTATGAGTTTAGCCTACAGTAAATCTACTGCCCATGTCTAGAAAATACAGAGTGGATTTATCTGTATATCTTCAAGGACCAGAATTTATGTAACTTTTCCTATCGAAGAGTTTCTTGTAGAAACTGGTGGGTTTCTTTTCTGTCCATGTGCCTCCTGAAGCTTACATCTCCTTCCCTTTAATCTGTTCAGTAACTTGGGTCAAGGGCATAAAAGTAGCCATCTGCCAAAGTCTCCTTTAGTTACCCAGGCCCAGTGGAAGATCATGGTCTTACGCTGATATGTGTTACATATCAAAGGAAGCTTTTTTTGGGGGGGGGGGTGTATAATTTCTTCACTCACTGAAGATCGCTTCCCTTGCAGTGTGTGCATGTTTTAAATAGGCTTAATTAATTTTCAGCATCTAAAAAATGGGGAAAACTTCAATCCAAAGTGAGGATGTAGAAATGCTTAGGAATCCTTGTTTTCTTAGCATCAAATGCTCAATAAGCAATGCAGCAGCAGAGTAACGGATTTTAAATTTCCAGCATTCTGATAATAAAAACACCAAGCCTAAATACCAGTTATTTATTTATAGTACAAGATAGGAGTTGCAGTGGCTCGAGTTGTTAAGACGCTGAACTGCAGGCTGTGGAAGATCGGTAGTTCAGCAGTTCGAGACCCGGGTGCCGCATGATGGAGTGAGCTCCCGTCTCTAGTTCCAGCTCCTGCCAACCTAGCAGTTCGAAAGCAAGAAATTGCGAGTAGATCAATAGGTACCACTTCAGTGGGAAGGTAACAGCGTTCTGTGCGCCTTGGTGTTTAGTCATGCCGGCCACATGACCACGGGAACGTCTTCGGACAGCGCTGGCTCTTCGGCTTTGAAACGGAGATGAGCACCACAACCCTAGAGTCGGACTCGACTGGCTTTCGAGCAAGGGAACCTTTACCTTTACAAGATTGGAGCAACGATTATGGGAGGAAGAATGTTTGGAGGTGTAGAAATAATGGTTGAGTTTTTCCTTTTACATCTAAGGGTAGCAGAATGTAACTTGAGAGGGTGCCGTGGCTAACAGAAATTGAACCTCTGTTTTTATCTTTGCACAGGCCCAGTTGTCATTGGAATTACAAAGGGAGAGTCACCTGAAACAGATACTTCTAATCCAAGAGCGATGGAAGAGAGCAAAGAGGGAAGAGAGGATAAAAACGCAGCAAGCTGCTGACAAGGATAGCACAACACATCTACAGGCTTCCTCTAAGCCAACAGTTGAGGAATCAGATGCTCAAAACGTGTCAACTCCTGGCAGTCTAAAATACATCCCCTCTCCAGAGAAGGATTCACAGGCAATCCATGGCCTCTTTGATAGGGAGCCAGACACACTACTGTTTCTCCTCCAGACAAGAAAGAAACCAGTGGAAGTACATGTTAGAAGCAAAACTCCAAAGGACGACAAGATAAAAATCGAGGAGCAGGCCACCAAAATTGCTGATCTAGAGCAGCATGTGGAATTTCTGTTAGCTGAAAATGAGCGGTTAAGGCGAGAGAACAAGCAGCTCAAAGCGGAGCGGGCCAGGCTGATCAAATCTCCCCTGGAGAAGGAGCTGGATGTCGATGCTGACTTTGTTGAGAAGTCAGAGTTGTGGGGCCTGCAGCAGCATTCCGAAGCTGCAGCAACCTCCGCCTCCACCTGGCAGAAATTTACAACCAACACAGGGAAGGCCAAGGATATCCCAATCCCCAGCCTTCCCCCACTGGACATTCCATCCCCTGAGCTGCCCCTCTTGGAGCTCTCAGAGGATATTCTGAAGGGATTCATGAACAGTTAAGCGGAGGCCACAACCCACGCTCACCTGTAGTTCAGCAGTGTCCAAAAAAGGGAAAGCCTCTCTCTGCCAAGGGGAGAAATAGTGACTACAGCCCTGACATGGGGGAAAATCTGTCATTGGGAGAAGTACCCCTGTCATTGGATTGGTTGCCTAGGGCTTACAGTTTACCATTGTTGGTAAAAATGAAACCATGTCTTCTGATTCTTTTCAAGCCAAATGTGGGGGAGACATTCAGGTGTAACAGTCCTGGAGGGGCCCAAGGTATGCTATGTGTAACAAGCCTCTCCAATGCCATAGAGCGATGCAAAACATAAATTGGTTATGAGCCAATGGGGGACAACTTCAAAGACCTTTTCTGTCATGCATTCAGTTGGTATTTGAATTGTGCACAAAAACTCATCACTGTAGTGGACGTCACTTCTGTTCATTTACAGGATGGATCTGCGTGCCACACTTTTGCTCTTCTGGCTTAATAGAATGTCAGCCAATCAGGAGAAATGCTAAATTTCCATTTTGTTTCTGAAGGAACCAAACTAGTTATATTTTTTTTTAATTTCTGTTTAAAGAATGGATTCATTTACATAATCAGGGTGCTTTATAATGTATGTTCTTTATAAGGAACTGCTAGACATTGTTTTAAACAAATACGCAGGAACGAACAATCCTTGGTGCATGAACAGAGATAATGGTAGTTGCCAGAACTTGATTGAAAATAAAATGTTTCAGGTCGATTTGAATCTTTTTCCTTGGGGCATTCTGCCTTCAGCAGAGGCCAAGCCAGCTACCTGTAGGAAACAAATACATCAACAGATCTTGATGGAGAGAGAGAAATCATGGTTTTAGCCTCAGCTGCTGGACATCAACAGGTATGTTACCCTGAATATGTGATTTCTATTTTTATGTGTCCCAGCAGATGACCTCTGCCATGGTGGTGGAAAGTACCACCAAGTTGCAGCCAATTTACGGTGACCCCCGTAGGCATTTCAAGGGAGGAGATGTTCAGAAGTAATTGCCCATCACCACCTTCTGTGTAGCGACCCTGGAATGATGGTCTCCCATCCAAGTACTAACCAGGGCTGGCTCTGCTTTTGGCTTCCACCCATTGACGAGATTGGGCTTGCCTGGGCCACCCAGATCTGGGCACTGCCACACCTTACAGGAATCTTTTAATCCTGGTAATATTTCTGTTTGAGCCTCGAGGCAAATTATTGGGTTCTACTAAATACTCGTATAACTTTCTCTCTACCCAGCTCTTCATTTTATAATGCTAAAGCTGCCCATACTTTGACCAGGTTATCACAGCTTCCTAGTTAATTCTGTGGGTGAAGACAGCCCAGCTGGAGCAGCCAGGTTCCAGCTGCTTGCATCTGATATACTGAAATCTTTCTGCTGTAGTCTTTCTACTTCTTTTGTTGTTGACAGCTCAACTTAAAGGAGGCCAGAGGCTTATAAAACTAGAATTTTCTTCTAGAGCACTCAGGCCCTACTTTAAGATGTGTGGCTACCAAGACAGCTGTAGTAATAGAGTGACACCAAGAAAAATACTTACATGTAGTTACTGTTACCATTCTCTTCAGCTTAGTAAATGTTTAATCACTTTCCTTACACAGGTACTCCCCCCTTCCCCAGTCCTTTAAGAGTTTTGCCTAGCTCTTCACCGATCGTACTGCCAGCCCTGGCTTATCCCATGTGTTCATGGGGGCGGGACAGGAGAGAGCCTATCTTTCTGCAAGGGTAAAGCGTTTCTACAGATGGACAGTCTTCCCCCTGTACACGTGATGCCCATGTGCAGACATACAACATCATAACTACGTGAAGCAATCTTGTCAGGGTAGAATGGGCAGGAACACAAAACTGAAAATAAATTATCCAAATGTCATGGTAGACACATGGATAGGTTTGAGTTTGTGAATTGTCATCTAAAACAGCTATCACTTTAAGCCTCGTCATAGTATCTTTGTATTAATAGTGCCATTTGGTGGATAACAATTTTGCACTGTTCTAGAACCCATTCCACTAGTGGTTTTGAAGTTAGAGCCACAATCTGCAGATTCACAAGCCTGTCATATTGCAATCCTTGGATCTGCAGCACTTCAAGTGTTCTATCGGCATTGCATTGGGTGTATTTAACAGAAGCAGTCTTATGTTACAAAGTACAGTGAGAACATTTATACTAATTGACAAACAATGAACGAGGCAGTGGACGAAGACGGGTTGCCAGGTCTTACCTGTCTGGCGGGGGGGGGGGGGGCTCCAGCCCGGGATCCTGGTCACCAAATGCTAGAGTGTCCCCTGTGTGATGTGCCCAGTGTGATGATGTCACTTATGGGTGACATTAGCACTTTGGGTACGTCGGGGCTCCCCCATAGGTCAGCTGGATGCTGGTGGATTGGGGCCCCTGAAAGTGGGAAAACTCCCACCCCCATCGGGGGGATGGCAACCCTAATGAAGATCTATCACATACTCTCTAGCCAGAGTTTAATTCTATGGTTTTCAGACTTTTTTCTTTCCATGTCAATGTTGACTAAGGGACCTCTACCGCACAAGCTCAATGTTGTGGATTTGGGTCCCATTCTAGGATGCAAATTCTGGCCTGCTTGAGCCTCACTATTTCCCACTGTGGACTGAATGTGTTTCCAAGAGCATATGTAACCTTTCATTGCAGCTGAACATTGATGGGGACATTAGGAGTAGAGAGACAAGGTGTCTGGTTAAGTAAGCAAACCATCTCTCTGGACCTTAATATAGAACACACTGTGCAGATTTAGAAAATCAGATCAGGTTTTTGCCTCCAGTTTTGTCTGAGCAAAACACTCTAAAGCTAAGAAAATGGGGTGTATCTGTAGTTTTAAAAATGTCTCAGATTTACTGCACCCAGGTTAAAGTTTTCAGGTTGGTCAACAAGTAAATGGCATGTACAAAAACTTTAAAGTGTCTCAGATGCAATGGTCAAACAAGGCTAAAGTCCGTCTCAGTGGCTACCGCTTTGGAAATGGAGAAGAGTTAGAAGCTTGTTTACGAAGCTTTCATAAAGAGAAAACTCAGCTACAGGTGTGAAATATTAGTTCTACAATATAGGGAAGGCTATAGAACAAAAGACTACAGACCAATTTAATTGAAAGGTTTGCTGTGCATAATTTCAAGAGCTTAGCAAACTTGGAATCAGAGTATTTGCTTTTATACCATTCATAGAACTTTTTAGGAGTTCAGCAGACACCTATTTTTCCAATACAGGAATCATGTCTGAGCAAATAGAAAACTGGGGGAACCTGCACTGCCTTGGCCAAAACACAAGACTGCTGATTCACAGGAAGAAACCATTTTGTAATCTAATAAATTGTACAGCACTGCACCTGCCATTTTCTTCCAAAAACAGCCATCATACAGTTCTGTAGGTGCATGCGCGCTCATGGTCTTAAAGGGGAGGGCAGAAGAGGTTCTGCAGGGACAGTGTCATGGGTGGTCACTTTCCGTGTGGCCCAACAAGGAGTGTTGGACCATTGCTGGAACAAAGCCATTGGCATAAGGCCTGCCACCACAGGAAGGTTCGACTGGTAGCTGAAAGTGCTGCAGAGCAGATGTGGTCAATTTCAGAAGGCATGGTCCTATGAAGCCTTGCTAGAGCCATCCAGATCTCTGCCACCCTGGGTGAATATTTGGATATGCAAATCAGGGGCTTGAACTGCAAACCGTAGCAACTAGGCAACGTCAGCTGCCCCCGACACTAGTGATGGGCACCGTCAAAGATATACGCATCACCGCAGATGGCCCTCCAGCAGCCTCTTGGTATGACCATCCCTCACTATGGGAAGAAACACTTCCAGGTGCTCAGGAGCCACAATTAAAGATGCTGCCAGCCCCTCAATCCATTGTTGCCCTCTGGAAAACCCTTCCCACCACTCATGACAGCTCTCCAGCTACTCCCGCTCAACTGGTGCTCACATGGAGGAAAGGGTGGGTGGGATGGGCTGTGCTGTGCTGGATACGGGCCCCATGCCTGGGGACCCAGCAAGGAGCTAGAAGATCGCCAGCGCTGTCGCAGGCACCGTCCACAAAGTGTCCCTGACGTACCTGGACAGGCCAAGGGGCCAAACAGCCCGCAACACAGATGGGCAAGCAAGATCTCAGCCATGAGAGCTGTCAGGGCCGGGCGGTGGAATCCAGGCCACTGCAACAGCTTCACCCCGGGCCTGATGCTAAGCATCGAGATTTATATCTGGGGGTGGGGCAATGGGAGCCAGGCTATCATAGGGAGCAAGCCTGACAGGCTGGAGAGTCTGAGGCAGCCAGAGAAGAGGGCCGGTGAAGGAATCACCTCCCTCAACCATTTACTCAGCCATGAGAGCTGTCAGGGCCGGGCAGTGGGATCCAGGCCACTGCAACAGCTTCACCCGGGGCCTGATGCTAAGCATCGAGATTTAGATCTGGGGGTGGGGCGATGGGAGCCAGGCTATAATAGGGAGCAAGCCCGACAGGCTGGAGGCAGCCAGAGAAGAGGGCTGGTGAAGGAATCACCTCCCTCAACCATTTCTGAGGCCGTGGGCTAGCCCCAAAGGGGGGGGAAGAGCAAGGCCAGGACCTCCATGATGGTGATGGGAGGGGCCAGCCCACGGACAGAGGAGGAAGCACAAAAGGAATTCAAGCCTTAGTTATCAAAGTGTCAGCATTTTTATTATGATATTCCATTGCACTTCATAATTATAACTGTTTCACTCAGTATTTAGTTAATAAAGAATGACAATGTCATATTCACAAATAAGTTTTATTGCTCTGGTATATTACACCTTGTTCAGACATTAGTCTTACCGGTATTAGGGAGATACCAACTCACACATTTGGGGGTCCATGCCACCAAACAGAAAGAGTCTCTGCTAAGGTCATTCACTGAACTGGGCCTTAAATAACTAATTTCAGGTTTAATATTCTGGCTGCGTTGACTCAGTTTGTGCATTACGCTATATCATGGTTTATGCAGTCCACCACTTAGAAGCCAAACCACAGTTTGAATTCACACAAGCAAACCTTGGGGTTTACAACTGCTTGGTCTCTAGATATCACACCAAGTCATAGCCAGTGCAAACTACAATCTTGCAAAATCAGTTCTACCCATGAGTTTGGATCCTATGTAGAGTGAGCAGAGCATCACTTTCAGAAGTGAACTTTCCCCCCATCTTCCTGGAGCTGCTGAGACAAAAAGTGAGGGACAAAGGGGAAGGACTTTGCCACAGGGAGGAAGAAACAGCAAAACTCGGCCCTCCTTTTCCACTGTGGGAAGTATGGTCTACCCCATGGTTTCAAATTCTGGTTTGTTTACCAACTGCCATCAGCTGCCAAATGAGACATCACAGCAAACCACACAAAGGCTTCCCCCAGGAGCATTTGTTGCTGCTTGAAACACATATGGAGTCGCTACCAGCTGTACAGAAAAATGCTCATCCATTTTTCATTCAGTGCCATACTCTGTTAATTTTGGGCCTTCCTCCTGAATGAAATGCATTAGTTACTGTGGAAATAGTGTTACCACTATTATAGGGAGAGCTCCGCAAAATATTTAATCTGTTGTAAAATCATTTTACATACACACTTGAAAAAAGGAAGAACTCAAAACAACATGTTTACTTGGTTATACATGAACTAATCAGAATCGCTGCAGTGCTGCATTCTAACAAACCCTTTTTCATGCACTACAGAAAATTTCCATTGTACTAAGGACAAGGTTTCATTCTGCTCAGTCTCCCCCCAGTATTCGTCACTCCTAGTAAATTAGGTTTCACATATGGATGGGCTTGGCTCCCCAGCAGGCAAGGAGGAGGGAAGCCAGACTTAAGTCCATATAGCTTGACGGGAAATCCTGAAAGAAGACCCCCCCCCCAAGCTCTAAAAATACTCCATCAAAGGATGACATGTCTGCCATGAGAGACTATCCCTGCCAGCAGAAAACTACTACTAATCCATTCGGCATGAGAACAAGTATAGTTTCAGTACACCATAATTCACAGGATAGATTACAAAATTTAGGCAGGCAGTATGGATAATTACTGCCTTTTTTTATTTTGTCCCCCCCCCCCCCATTACAGTAATTTGTGTCAGACTTTTGTGGCTTTTCCAGCAAAGACCCCTGAATATTAACTTTTGAGAAGAAAAGTAGCTCTTCTTGACCTGAATTCTGCAACACCTGCCAGGCCCTCCTGCTGAGCTCTCCTCCCAAGCAGTTTAAGGAATGAATGTCAATCTGCAGTTAGCTGGGGAAGAAGAGTCATATAGGATTATGCCAGTTAGTGTACAATTAGGTGTGTGCAGGGGGAAAAAAGGTATTTTTCGGGTTCGGGTATACCAAACCTGAAAAATATCAGTTTTTCCCCGCATCCCAATATCAGTATGATATTGAGATTCAGGAAATAATTGGGATTGCTGAATTTATTTGGCTCCATTATACCCTAAAGGGAATCGATCCCCAAGCCGTACCACATGCCAGTGAATACCCTGTTTTCCCGAAAATAAGACCTACCCCCAAAATAAGCCCTAGCAGGATTTCTATGCATTTGTGGTATAAGCCCTAGTGTGTCTTCTTGAGAAAAAATAAATATAAGACAGTGTCTTATTTTCGGGGAAACATGGTAAGCGGCCCCAAACGAGTTGTCGTTCCCTTTAAATGACTTTTACAAACACTCCAAAGCGGCTGGGGAGTTCACCCAGAAGTGAGCCACTTCTAGGTGAGCTTGCTGCTTCGGTATAGGTTTAGCTACCCAAATAAAAGCTGATTTTATTTTTATTTTTTGCTTCTCTTTGGGCTCAGCTATTTTGTAGCCAATCAGATTCCCTAATCTGAAATTGGCTTAATAAATACCAAAAAAATACTGTTAAGGTATTTTTTGGGTATTTATTTGGCTCTGTTTTTACCCAGTTCACACCCTTATGTACAATAACTCAACAAATGCTACAGAATAGGTCATACTTATGCAAATATTAACTGCCAAATTTCCCCTAATAGCACATGGGCAAAGGTAAAAAAACAGCATGATACCTCACACTGAGATTCCACTTGTTAAAAAGGAGTGCCCTGCCAGAAAATGACGATGCATTCAGTTCCATCAACAGCTCTACCTGCGGCAAAAAAATTATAAGATGTTTAAATGGGGTGAACATATGAATCTCCCTTGAATCAGACCATTGATTCATCAATGTCAGTATTGGACGGGTATCTGGGAGTGAAAAGATACCACACAGATAAATGAAACCCCAGAATCATAACTGATCAGAGTAGAAAGAATACTTGAAGATTTTAGTTCAAATAATGGAATAACCGGTGCCCATTCCAAATGCCTAGCATGATTTCTTTAATTCAATTAATGCACATTACAAACAGGAAGGAATCCGTTCTTCAAATGGCAAGTAATGGAGACAGAATGAATCTGAGGATCACACAGGTGAAGTGTGAACCAGCAGGACTGGTAATATGTACTCCAGGCTAGAGCAACAAAAAGGCTTTCCAGCAGCCGAGGACTCAATGCATCTCCAAACTTTACTAAAAGTTTGTGAAGCTACAGTAATACTCTTACAGACTGTTGCAAAGCATTAAAGTATCACCAGTTAAAGATGAGATGCTAGAGATGAATGTACAAAAAAGACTGGCGCTCTCCATGCTGGTGAAACAATGCAAAAGGTGGATCAGAAAACAGGGACCCCACCTTACAGGTGTTCACTTAGTAATTTTTTCAATAGCTAAAGCTTCAGACATTCACATGGCTTAGACATCTGCATCACTGAAGTCCAAGTACTTCTTTTAGTATTTCAAGGTGATAAAAATTTCCAAAGTCTTCAGACTAAAAAGACACGCAACTCAAACAAACATTTTATAACTTATACTGCAGAACTTTCTTAGAATGTAAGTTACCACATTATACTGTTCAAGGACCTTTTGTGAACACCACACACATTTAAATGTGCACATGTTGATAGAGGTATAAAAGCATGTATTTGCTGGGTCTTGTTCATGGTGTTTTAAAATAGCAGATTTTGGGGAACACATTTAACTATTTTTTTCCTTATCTTTGACCCCTAGGTATGAGCTTTTGAGAGTCAAAGCTCCCTTTGTCAGAAGGGACCCTTGATCAACACGATTACTCTCTGGAACGAATTACTTGAAGACATCTAACATTCTGGCAAAGTTTAACCAAAAAACAAAAAAACCCGCTAAAAGCTTTCAAAGCTGAGATTTAAAGTACAAAAAAGCAGCTATTAATTTGTATTCTGTGTTATATATAAATGTATAATTAAAATGCAGCCATTACCACCAACCTTGCTTCAGAAATGCATCAACTTGGATTCCACTAAAAATTTCTGCTGAAAGAATAATTTCCATAGGCAGAGTATGACTTTCTCACCTCTCCCGTCAGTGAAAATCCCATGTGGGATCCAAACCATCTGCTGCTGTACAATTTAGACTATATCACCTGCTAGAAAATAGAATGAAGCAAAGAATTCAACTCTGTTTGGATTCATCAAGGTGACATTCCACATAATTATTGTCTCCTAAATCTTTGTGTTATCAGAGACTACCTTTGTCATGTTATGAATTTTATCTTTGTTACTGATAATCATAAAAATGTCAAAAACTTGTTCAATGTAATTGCTCATATTAAGAACTGTAATTAAAGACAGTACATAACAAGATGTTTTAATTATTTTTATTCCTCATTAAATAAACTTTCTTTGGCTCAGCCAGTTGAACTGTGCTCTAGCACATGTCAGCAGTTTCATATGAAACCTGGAGAGGGCAGAACGAACCACACTAATTAAACACACAACAATTTAGTCTTTTACAATAGTCAACATTACAGAGACACATCTGCAACCACTGTGAATGAATGAATGACTCAGACAAGCGCATCTTTAACAAATGTGCCACAAACATGAAAAACACACACAATGAGACAACATTTGATAAAGTCCTTTTTAATGGAAAATGTAAAACCCCTTTCAACTTTCAATGTACAAAGCATGTGTAACACTTGCACTTTTAACAAATTAAAGCAAGCCAATGTTTTAAAAAAATACATCATTGAATGTATATATGTATATATTTACATAGCATATTAAGTTTAATATTTAGCTTTAAAAGTTCACATAAATTTTACCAAAATGAGACAAATTTTAAATAAATTACACCTTTTTGAAAACGTTTCATTGTACACTGAATAGCTTCAATAAAATACTGAAGAGTCTGTCATATCTATTTTATATACTTTTATATTGTACAAAGTTTACAATTATTTGGCAGTAAATTTTCAGATCATGACATGACTGCTGTGCGGATTCAGCAATATCCCAAATGCAGGCAATAGCTGGTGTTTGTGTCCTACTCACAGTAACTGTCTCAATGTAGTGAAAAATATCCAAGTTATTTTAACCAAACTGTACAAATCACATTTACATTCAATCAACAATAGAGCATAGAATTTTTTTCCAAAAATAAATACATCTTAAATCTTTGACATTTTGCAAATTTCATTTACACTATGATACATAAAAGCAGAATGCTGCTTAGGGTTTTCTATTTCTAAAAAATCCCCCAAGTTTAAATAACAGCAGCTGTTATCAGAAGCTGTTCTGTTGCAGTGTCAGTAGCAAGTAAATACAATGGACATACTTTCTTGGCACTGATGGTGCGTGCAGCTTATATTAGTGAGTAGACTATCATAAAAAAATAACCTGACACAAAAAGGAGGAGCGCACACACTTAGTTTTCTTCCATATCTTCTGTTTCCTGTTCGTGTATCTTCAAAGCTCTCACCATTTCCTTAACTGCATGATACAAGATATTTTTAACCTGTAAAAGCAAGTTCAGCAATTTAAGCAATGGACACAGCTTCTGATAATGTAGAAAGGTTTTGGGGAGGGAGAGTGAAGAGAAAGATGTTGGCCGGGTTCATACACGCGCTTTTGCATCCAATAAAAAAGGCACACAGGTCTTGAGCTCACAGACTCCTTCAACCTGCTCTTGTTGAGGAGAAAGTAATCATGAGCACAATACTGTTTGGATCCTGCTGTTCCATCAGTGCTTCCATATTCTTCCAGGGTAAGAAGTCTTCTGCTGATTCAAGATGGAGCATCTTGCACCAGCACAAAGTGTCTTACACTGGAGGAACTGGCAGGTGCTGATAGAACGACGTAGCAAGTTCCAGCCCCAGGTATACCTAAATGGATATAGGACTACAGGCAGCAAGTTCATCAGGCGATCTCAAGTAGAAAGAAACCAGTACTGTAGCTTGTACTAGGGAGAGTGGGGCTTGAGAGAACACACACAAGTCCAAGATGTGTGCCTCTTGTACTGTGTATAGAAGTGTTCACATAGCCACCAATATGAAACTATCACAGCTGAAAGGAATTCCAACTGTCACATATTCATTAACATTTACTCCACATGAACATCAGCAAACACCACTGAATTACGATGAGGACTCATTTGTTACCTGCAGTTTATCATCATAATTGATTTCTTCCTTCGATAGCCTCAGTTCTTGCGTTAAATGAAATGACTGCACAAGATGTTCTGGAGACACAAAGTCCTCAGTTACTTGAATGCAGCTATGAAAATTCTGTACCTGTGTAAACAAAACCCATGCTGAAGTATTCTTGGACAGGAAAGGATAAAAACAAATATGTACAACTGCCAGCTTCACCAGGATCATTAAGTCTCTGGTCTATATCCAACCACGTGGTTATGAAGATTTTAGAGTCCTCTTAAAGGGGGGGGGGGTCCCACAGATTTCCAAGTCTCACTCCAACCCATGCAACCCGAAATAATTTTGTTCCTGGGAATCAGCAGGCCCTCAGAAACAGCACAGCAGATTCCTGGTGTTGTAGGGCCTATGTGAATTAACAGTGACAGAGGATAGGAGCTGTACTGAGGAGGAAGGGGGTGACATCGCTCACTTTTCTCTTCCCTCTTGTCAGAGCAGCCCCCTAACCTGAGTGGCTGTTCTCTTCTATAAAGGTACTGTGACCCCAGGAATCAACATTCCAAGGGCCAGAAACAGCTGCTGTGTGCAGGGGAATACACAAAAGTCCCTCAATACTTGCACCAATGGATTTGGTGCACTTCTCTATATGAGTTTTTAAAAATGACAGCCAGAAGTACACAACTGTGATTGGGAAAAAATCTGTAAACTTCCATTGCAGGTTGGATCCAGGCAAAACTAGCTATTTCCACTGATTCTCCCTTCCTGCTGCAGAGCCCCTCCTGTCATTCCTCAGGACCCCTACCTTCCAAGAGGAGCACGTTGTGGCAATTGGTGGGCTACAGTGGGAGCAGAGAGGCAGGAAAGTTCCACTCTGCCACTGGAAAAGCTAAGCTGGATCCAACCTTGCATCTCTGTCCCAGGACATGGGACGGAGACTGCACTGGTGGCCCTTACTGACGACCTCTGGAGAAATCTGGATCGGGGCGGGTTGGCAGTACTGTTGTTGCTCGACTTGTCGGCTGTGTTCGACACAGTCGACCATCAATTGCTGACCTACCGCCTCGCCGATGTGGGGATACAGGGGCTTGCCTTGCAGTGGCTCGCTTCTTTTCTCCAAGATCGGGGACAGAGGGTGAACAGCAGTCCAGGAGACACCCACTGGAGTGTGGTGTGCCTCAGAGGGCAGTGCTTTCCTCGATGTTTAACATCTATATGCGTCCCCTCGCCCAGATTGCCTGGAGGTATGGGCTGGGGTGTCACCAGTACACTGATGACACCCAGCTCTATCTGATGTTGGGTGGCCGGTCGGACTCTAGTCCGGAAGATCTGGACCAGGCATTGCACGCCATGGCTGGTTGGCTCAGACTGAGCAGGCTGAAACAAAACCCGACAAAGACGAAGGTCCTGTGCCTGAGTTGGAGCGGTTTGGGGTTGGGGATCCTGCTCCCGACCTTCGATGGGGCACCACTGGTGCAAGTGCCGGAAGTTAGGAGTCTGGGAGTGCTCCTGAATCCCTCCTTAACTATGGAGGCCCAGGTGGCGGCCACTGCTAAGTCAGCCTTTTACCATCTCCGGCTGATGTGGCAGTTGGTTCCTCGACCGTGACGACCTGGCTACAGTGATCCATGCGACAGTCACCTTGAGACTAGACTACTGTACTGTCTCTACATGGGGCTGCCCTTGTCGCAAATTCGGAGGCTGCAGCTAGTGCAGAATGCCACGGCTAGGCTTTTGATGGGTCTCCCTAGATGGGAGCACATTGGGGCGGTGCTGCAGGCATTGCACTGGCTGTCAATAGCATACCGAATTCACTTCAAGGTGCTGGTACTTACCTTTAAAGCCCTATATGGCCAGGGTCCAACATACCTTTCCCCATACAGACCCAAGAGAGCACTTTGGTCGTGGTCAAAAAACCGTCTAACTATCCCAGACCCTAGAGATGCCAGGCTTGCTGCTACCAGGGCCAGGGCTTTTTTGGTGGCGGCTCCTACCTGGTGGAATGAGCTCTCGGAGGAGATCGGGGCCCTGTGGGGCCTGCAAGACAGAGCTCTTCTGCCAGGCTTTCAACTAGGAGCCGCCCACCACCCAACACCAACACCGCCCACCACTGATGTCACCAACTGCGTGGCGGTAGGTTGGCCCTTCAGGAGACCGAGATACAGCATTGCGGGAGGCGGAAATATCGTTAAAACAGGGCCCTAGTATCACTTCTGTTTGCACGCCATCTCTAACTGAATGAAGACTGAATATCACTATGAGCACTTTTTGGTATCAACTATATCTAAGTTAATTGTATAACTGTTTTATCTTGGCACATGGTGCTGCTAATTGTGAGCTGCCCTGAGCCCGCTTGCGGGGAGAGCGGGATATAAATCCAATACATCTTGATTTTATTGCACTGCACACAGCCCCTTAAAGATCCTAAAACCTATTTTTACAATTTTCAGGTCAGAACACACTGAGAACAGGAAGATTTTCAGTCAGTTTTGATCAGAAAGGGAACAAGCAAATTGGTCATCACCAGATTTTCCACCACAAACCATCCAACACAAAAGTTATACAAGTAGGCAGGGAAGATGGAAAGAGTTTTATTTGCTGATGATAAACAAAAATCTTCCTAGCTCTAAAAAATTATACTTTAACATACTAAAAGGGAGGTCAGACAATCTTTATGGCATCACAAAAGTGCTGTCGGTTACATCTTGTAACAGCCATCAGTAAAAAGAAAATCTATAACTGTACATTCATACTTGTCTTTTGGGAAAGCATGGCTTTACCTGATGGAGTGCTCCTGCTGGTAAAACAATAGCGTCACCAAGAAACTGGATGAGAGTGCAGGTTTTTACTCCATATTCTTCTAGAAGTCTTTGACGTAGTTTTTTGTTTATATACCAACTCTGGTCACGTATTGGGTCATGCTCTGGTAAAACGTCTAAACCTTGTTCTTTTGATATCTGTAATACAGTTGTGAAGTTGCATTATACACAAAACCTGTTTACCTAGTGAGGACAGTCGGCTCATAAAATCTATATTGCGTACAAAATTATAATTAAGATTCAGAATGCTCATTAGAATTCAGCAGAAGAGCAAGAGATGAGCCCAGTAGTACCTTAAAGACCTACAAGATTTCCAGGGTATAAGTCAAAGTTCCCTTCATAAGATATAAATAGGAATGCAGATTCCATAGCTTTTATATCAAGGGTGTTAAACCTGCGGCCCGTGGGCCGGAACTGGCCTGCCCAGGCCTTTAATCTAGCCCAGGAGTGGGGCTCTCTTCTCTCTTCCCCCTTCCCTGCCCATCCTCGCTTTTCTGGGCTTGAGCTGCCTTGGAGTATAAAGTGCAGAGGGCAGGGCTGCCTCTGACAGCAGGAAGCAGAGAGCGGGGCTGCCAAACTTCCCAGCCACCATTCCGGCCTTCGTAGTTCTCACAGGTACGAGCTGGGGGGAGGGTGTCCTTCTGCTGTGAAACTTGTGTTTCTTTTTTATTTTAAAAACTGCTTTGCAAAATCCCACTAATCCTCCACCTTTCCAATTTATGCAGGCATGTTTTAAGGGAGTGGGGAGGAAGGTTAGGGACTAAGCCAGAGTTAAAATATAGAGTTCTGCAAACTCAAGGGACTTCTGTTTTGCAGAATATATGATTTAAAACACACACACAAAACAACACACACACACACACACACCCTCCTAATGTAGGTCTCCAATGGAATAACTACTATAATATCTTTAATTGTGTTTTTCTGTGTCGCTTATAAAGTTTATCTCTCTGCTACCTGGCATTACATTTTGTGAAACACATGCCCCAGCCCGACAGCCCGATTTATGTCAAATCCAGCCCTCATAACTAATGAGTTCGACACCCCTGCCTTATATCGTGCATAATGGAAGGATATCCAAAATGTCTGTGCCTCATAACAATTCCTTGAGTTGTGCAAGGTCTGACTAATCATTTATTATCAAATGATATGTCAAGGCAACCAAACCCAGCTATATACCCCCTTTGATTTAGAAAAAAATACTTTTTCCTGGGGAACAATATTTTTGGATGATCCCTTTCTTACCTTCTACAAATATATAAATACACCTTTAAAATATTTCTGCAAGACACCCCTTGAGACTGAGTTATTATTTAAGAGGAAAAAGGGGAACTCCCTATTTTCAAACCATAATTACGCTAAGAACTACAGGTTTTTAAACAGGGAGACACTGAGTTGGATCACCAAAAAGACTATGTTGTCCAGAAAGGATAAAAATAATGTGGGATGGGGGGTATAATAAGGAGGGAATGGAAAAACTGGGTGGATCCAACCTACTGCCTTTTCTGATAAGCTTATCAAGTGTTTCCTTAGTGAGAAGATCTGTAATGGTGGATCAGCATCTCCTGATTATCCAACACTACCAATCATGCAATCATAATCACTGCTGCAGGTAATCTGGAGCTGTAGGGGAATGTCAGGTGCGTGCTAGGTCACATAGTTCAAACAGCACAACAATAAGACTGATAATGCCATGCAAACCCATTACCCCCAAAGGGTTTCCAGCAATGTTTACAGGCAGCAAAACAGACAAATGTGCAAAAAGTCTTATTATGAAAGGTTCAATTTCCTATTCAGAGTAAGCATCTACAGCCCCAGCACTGCTCAGTTTAAGGGGATTTATCTAGACTATTTTACACACACACCATAAGCACAATTTGTTCAGTTCTAATTAATATGCATCCATTATAAATCTAACCTTTTGTAGGAACTCCCTTATTTTCTCTGCATCCTTGCCAGCGTAAATATGCCACAAAGCACCAGGCAATTCACTTGAATCCTTCAGCCTTTTTCTTAGAAGATCATCCAAATCTTCTTCTTCAAACTTCTTTAGTACTCCTGAAAAGTTATAAATGTAATCATATTCCAGAGTTGGAGAAGACTAGCTCTGCATTGAACATTATGCCAGAAATGCCTCTTCCTTCCCTTGTATATATCACAAAAAGGCAGGGCATGAAAAAGAGGAGCAGCAACAGACAAATCTATATGCACTAGTTACAAATCTTAATGATGCCCATCTAAAACACACTAATATTATTAAAACCAAATGTACAGATCTTGCACAAGGTAATGGTGAATGGCATCAAATAACTTTATCACACAATAAACAGTCAATTTTTTTTGCAGTTCTGAATTGATCATTAAAGTGTCTTATGGATAATGTTGGGACAAGGACAAGTTCATGCAAAAATCCATAAGTACATAAATCTATACCTTATCATTGCCGCCCTGCAACAATAGTTGTCACCATCCCTCCCTTGTTCTATAAACACAGTAATTAAACAGAGCTTGCAGCCCAACTGCACCCAAGCACACAGTGAAAAAACAACCAGTTTTCATGCTGATTAATGTTTGGTTGGAAGTATCAAGAGGATATTATCCATATTTAATTTATAAGTATGCATAAATGATTATGCTTGTGCCAGTTTTGCTGTGGTGGCAATTCACATGGTTTTTTTTTAAACTTTACCTGATTTTGAGAGAACATTCCCTTTTGCTATGGCAACACTGACAAGGATGTTCACAACATCAGACACTTCAATATGGAGATTCGTAGTTCCTATATCGTGGTCTTTAGCAGCAGCTACACCTTTTTCAAAGATAATGTATAAAATATTGAAGAGCATTTAAGGCCTTCATCAATTTTCATGAACAGACCTGTAAAATGTTTTCTTGTGAAATTTATGGAACCTGAATTGGTTTTATATTTTTAAGTTAAGATTTAAATAGCTAATGAAATCACCCACATTTATAGACAAAAATTTATAAGAGAAAAAATCTGGTTCAGCAAAAAAAAAGAAGAGAGAGGGGAGATAGCAATTTTCTAAGTAGGATCAGGTGGCTTTCAAAATTAATTTGTGAGTTAAGAACAACTGAAAAACTTGATGTGAGGCATCTAGTTCTGTTTAGGAGGTATAACAATGTACTAACAACTGTGATAAAGAACTTTAGATTTCAAAAAGAGCTGATCAGTTTTAAGTCTTTTACAGGTCCAGTTGCTGGCTTGGGACTGTTATTACACTTTTTATCGTATCAGAAAACGAAACATCAGGATACATGCATTTCCCCCCTCTCATCTATTTGCAGCTCCCAGGTATGAAATGGCATTATGTTATCATGACCACATCCCATCCGCCAACTCACTCTTCTGCTGTCTCTGGGAACCTGTATTTCCTTGTTCTTCTCCTTCTGAACATGCCCATCTTTAATCATTCATTATTGCTTATCAAAACCTTTGTGTCTTTGGCAATGGCTGTCTTCAAGCCTATAGCCAAGATTTTTTTGCTTGTGAGGCATATTTTTTTCTTGTGGGGCAGACACAACATCAAATAAAAAATAAACATGAATTGCAGCTCTTCAAACCTGAATTGTATTTCACTCCCCTCTCATCAGCTGTTAGACCTAACAGCTATTCCTCAAGGAGTGAAAATGACCAGAAGGGGCAGGGCAGCCTCCCTTCTGCTGTGGGGAGGCTGGGGAAGGAATGGAAAGCTGCCCTGCTGCTTCTGGTCAGTTTCACTCCTTCAGGAATAGCTGTTGGGTCTAACAGCAGATTGGAGGGGAGTGAAATTGACCAAAAGTGGCAGGGCACCTTTCTTTTCCAATCCCCAGCCCCCTGCAGCAGCTGGGAGGCTGAGGAAGGAAAGGAAAGCTGTCCTGCTGCTTCTGGTCAGTTTCACTCCCCTCTGATCATTTGTTAAACCTGGAAGCTGATCCTCTGGAGTGAAACTAACCAAAAGCTGCAGGGCCACTTCCCTTTCTTTCCTGAGCCTCCCTGTTGCTGTTGGGCTAGGCACACTGGGGGGTGAGGGTGTCTGGCATCTTCAAGTGGTGCAGCAGGACGGGGGGGGGCTCGACCACCAAATGCCCCACTGTGGCTACAGGCCATGCTGTCTTTGGCTAAAAAGGGTGTGTGTGTTTTGTTTAAGAAGGATCCAGTCTCCTAGTCTACACAATTGTTACTGGAAATTTACTTACCGTATGCACTGCATAACCTGGGTCCTAGATCTGGGCGTACAAAAAACCCTGGCAAGTATGAAGCCAAATTATATTTTCCTTCTGGATTACAATACTCTGGCAATGGCAAACTTTTTAATAAATCTTCATATCTGAGGAAATAAGGTAAAAGTAACAGTGTGAATAAAATCTGAGGAAAAATAGACCCCCCCCCCAAAACAGAGTAACTGAGGGAAGACTCAATAAAAATGAATACCTTGCAGGCATCATGGTCTTGAAATCATCACCAGAAGGCAAGTCTTTTAACTTCAGTACAACTGGTTCCCCATATTTTATTTTTTGCCGCTCTGCAAACATACAAGCCAATGCATGTACTAAGCCATTATTACTACTAGATGTAAGAGTAACACGAGCATGCCTTCTACTTTGACTAACCACAACATATAGAAAATATTCTGGTTTTTAAATCTGTAAACAAAGGTGGCCATAGTAATGAGCAAGCACAATATTACTGCTGCAGGGAAAAAAACAGTTGGCAACAATTTATGGCATTAACATCTTCTGTTTTAAAACTGCTCTGTCAGTGCATATCACACTGCAGTTCACTTCCCTATTTAAACTGTGACAAGATGGAATAGATTCACATTTGGACACCTGCTTATCTGTCAATATTACATCTGAGGGCTGTTTTCTGCCACTGAGGGGGTGGTTTTCATTGTTTCCTCCCTTCCACTGCAGACCTCCACATCGGGGTCAGTGATATTTCTGGAATTCCCCAAACCCCACAGACAGTATTTCTGAATGGTAGTGCTGCGAGGTGGACTGGGGGAAGGGTTAATTTAAAGTAAGTGGATCAGACACATGCAAAGTTCATACTCAATTAAACGTTTTAGAGGCCTGTTTTACATTACTACATTAAGCTATTTAAAGACAGTTCTGGGCTCCCAGGCATGCTTCCCCTCCCTTGGACAGCCTGTTGATGTTTCCTGCCCAAACGGTCACATGATTAGGGAAGGGAGGACTCCTCCTTCAGTTTGCCATCTGCTGCTATGAGAGAGGTTACATGCACTGTCCAAAGTAGGGAAGGAGGGAGGGATGTGTACTTGCACAGAAGAACTCTCGATGAACAACAGTTACAGCTAAGTGCAACCCCGTTTTCATCATATATTTTTTTTCCGTTTTCATCATCATGGCTTCTGTACAGCCCCATATCGGAGAATAGCAAGTCCACTTGCCATGGAGGAGGGTATGAGCTGGACTAGCAGAAGAGTGACTGTAAAACTGCTTTCCCCACAGCTGCCTCGCTCCTGGAGTCAACGTCAACTGCGTAGTGCCAAATGAAGGTTGATGGTGTGGAACACGTAGCTGCCTTGGAAACATCTGCCAGCAGCAATCTGGCTGTGAAGGCAGCAGAAGACGCCTGTGCTCCTGCTGAATGTGTGACCACTCTAAGTGGACGTTCCCTCCCGGACTCTGTGTAAGCTAACCTCACTGCTGAAACCACACATCTAGACAAGGTCTGCGATGAGGCAGCCTTACCCTTGTTAAGGCATTTGAAACAGACAAATAGACTTCTGCCTTTTCTGAAATCATCCATCCTCTTCAGATAAAACAGTAAAGCGCTACAAACATCTAGTGTGTGAAGTGCTCTTTCAGCCCTGCCTGAGGGGGAAGGGAAGAAAACAGGGAGGTTGATGTCTTGGCTGATGTGGAATCTAGGTGGACCTTTAGGTAAGAATCCTATTTGTGGCCTTTGGACTACTTTATCAGGATGAAAATTAAGAAAAGGAGGGTCACAAGAGAGGGCACTAAGCTCACCCATCCTCTGTGCAGAAGTAATTGCTATCAGAAATGCCTCCTTGTAGGAAAGGAAAGACAAGTTAGTAGTAGCCAGTGGTTCAAACGATTTATCTGGAAGTTTTGAAAGGACCTGGGAAAGACTCCATTGGGGAACAGAGGTTAGCACTGGAGGAAACAAATTCCATAAGCTCTTCATAAACTGCTTAGACATAGGGTTAGAAAACGCTGTATAGCCTTCATCCAAAGTATGCTAAGTCTTCAGTGGCGAAGTTGAGAGGCCAGTATACCTCAACATTAGTTAAGTACTCAAAGCATCAAAACCATGTCTGCGTGCCCAGGTCTGAAACCTTTTCCACTTATACTCGTAACGGCGGCATGTGGAAGGGTCTACGTGAAGCAGAGAAAACCTGACATCCTTGACACCAATGGTTATGGGGCTGGATTAGCTATGCTGTTAGATGGAGGGACCTGATCCCTGGATGGTGAATGGGTCCTAATTTCAACAGATCTTCGGATCGAGGTAGGGACATATGAGTGGAAACCATGTCTTTCTGGGCCAAAATGGGGCTATGAGGATGGCAAGGGTGTTATCCATTTGGAACTTTACCAGGACCTTGTGAAGGAGAGAAAATGGAGGTAAAGCATAGAATAAGCATCCACCCCACTATAACTGGAATGCATTCCTAATAGAATTGGGGTATGATGCAACCCTGGAGCAGAACAAAGGGCATCTGGCATTGTCTGATGAGGCAAAGAGGTCCACCTCCAGAGTCCCCACTGCTTGAATATTGGGGTGAGGCAGTCATCCCTCAGGGATCACTCGTGAGTTACAGAGGCGACCCTGCTTAGCATATCGGCTAGCGAGTTTTGAACCCCAGCTATGTGTATTGCAGATAGGTGTACATGGTGTGTTATAGCCCATTACCAAATCCTGGTTGCTTCCCTGCAAAGTGTAAGGGAACCTGTTTCCCCCTGCTTGTTGACACAGAACTTTGCAGTACTGTTGTCAATGGTAATGAGAACATGGCAACCATGCACAGCATCTGGGGGGGAAAAATCAGAGCATACCTCATAGCCTTGAGTTCCAACACATTTATGTGTAATGTAACTTCATAGCTAGACCACCAACCACTTACAGTTAGGTCTCCAGTATGTGCACCCCATCCCAAGAGGTATGCATCTGTAAAAATTTGCAGAGGAGACGACCCCAATTGAACCCCTTTGAGGAGGTGTGATGGATCAGTCCACCATTGCAATGAGCGGAGAACTGGTCTAGGGATGGAGAATTTGTCCCACTGTGAGTCAAGTTGGTGGGAAAAAAAAAAAAACAACTAATTTTGTAAAGGCCTCATAAAGAGCCTGGCAAAAGGAGTAACTACAGTCATAGCTGCCATGTACCCCAGAAACCTTTTAATATTTTTTGCTGTCTGAAACCTATGTGTAAGGAGTGTATTGCTCTCTTTGAGGGAAGGTAAGCTTTACCATCCACCAAACTAAGCCTAGCACCAATGAATTCTATGGTCTGGGTAGGCTGCAAGTGAGACTTTTCTAAGTTAACAATGAACCCCAGATTATTTAGCACCAGATCTACATTGGCAGAGAGGGTTTCAGGAGATCCAGTGATGTTGGTCAGCATCATCCATCCTGCTATGAGATCAAGAGGATTCCAATGGAGGTCCCGTGGGTAGAAAATGGGAAGGATCCCATGCAGCCCCAGGAACTGGGAACATCATTGGGTAGTTCATCCATGGGTTAATGGGACATAATTAGTCTACAGAATCATGACATCTCTTCTTATGAGCTGGGGGCTTCTCTGGCTGGATCTCAAGGACACTGTCATCCAAAATCAATGACGAAGCTCAGTAATGAGTCGAAGAAGCCGGGGAGTCTGACATCAAAGATATGTCAACACTGATTGGTGACGGGGATCAGTCGAGGTGGTTGCACTGTCTCTGGCATTGGCACTCAGTCCCGAGACAGCCATCAATGCTGATGATGGGCGGGAGTTGATTGTTGACCCTGGAATGAGTTAAGCTGCTGAGGCAGCAATGCTGGTGATTGTTAGCACCAGGGCAGCGTTTCACAGTCCAAGGATGGAGATCTCGCAGCGATTATGCTTTTACTTCTTTTTTGCCTTTTTGATGGGTTGTTCAGATAAAGACCCCATCACAGTGGTAGATTCAGTGGGCTGAGTAGCTGGGGTCGGCAGAGATGTCAGCAAGGGGGCCCTTCCCAAAGACTCAGCCACTGTTGATATACTAACTGTTGGGGGAGGGTGGCCTTGAACACCTTCTCCCACAGGGCCACTTTAAGATGAACCGCTACCGCTCTACCTTCCCTTGCCTTGGCGGTTGAGCCGACAAGCAGAGCAAGTTGAAGGGTTGTGTCCTTCACCAAGGCACAACAAACAAGCAGAATGTTCATCATTTTGGGCCATTTTGGCTCCAAAATCAGAACACTTCTTAAAAAGTGCCATAGCTTCAGTGCATTGAGGTAGAATCTCGAGGGTTTAATAATATATATTTTAGTATTATTGCTTTTCATCAGAGTCCAGAGACTGCTATTATGAACAATAAACAAGAGAGAGCAGTTTGGTGTAGTGGTTAAACGTGCGGACTCTAATCTGGGAGAACCGGGTTTGATTCCCCACTCCTCCACTTACACCTGCTGGATGTCCTTGGGCAAGCCATAGTTCTGGCTCAGCTTTTCTTGAAAAAGAGCAATTTCTGTCAGAGCTCTCTCAGCCCCACCTCTCTCAGCCCCAATCTCTTATCTTCTTCTTTGGGTATATCAACAGAGGCGTAAAATTCAAATCACAAGATCTCACAGTTCTGCTGTACACCACATTGGTCAGGCTGCACATGGAGTATTGTGTGCAGTTCTGGAGGCCTCACTTCAAAAAGGATGTGGACAGAATGGAGTGGGTGCAGAGGAGAGTGACTAGGATGATCCAGGGCCTGGAGACCAAGCCCTATGAGAAAAGGCTGAGGGACTTGGGAATGTTTAGTCTGGAGAAGAGGTGGTTGAGGGGGGACATAATTGCTCTCCTTAAATATTTGAAGGGCTGCCACTTAGAGGAGGGCAGGGAGCTGTTCCTGTTGGCAGCAGTGGATAGAACTCGCAAGAATGGGTTTAAATTAAGGGCAGGAAGGTACCAGCTGGATATTAGGAAAAACTTTTTGACAGAGTTGTGCAACAGTGGAGTCAGCTGCCTAGGGAGGTGGTGAGCTCCACCTCACTGGCAGCGGCTTACAAACTCCTTTCCCTTCCCCTCCCCACAACAGACACCCTGTGAGGGAGGTGGGGCTCTGAGAGAGCTCTTGATAGAAACTGCTCTTTTTCAAGAACAGCTGTACCAGAGCTACGGCTTGCCCAAGGTCATCCAGCCAGGTGCAAGTGGAGGAGTGGGGAATCAAACCTGGTTCTCCCAGATTAGAGTCCGGGGACTTAACCACTACACCAAACTAGATGGCCTGTATGGCCCCTTCCAACTCTGTGATTCTATGATTCTATTCTACAATTTATGTAGTCTTTGTTTTTTTGTTCTTAGGCCAAAAAGCAACAGCTTGCTGAAGAATGTCCTCTCTTCATGGTGGGAAGATGAGAACTGAGGGAGGAGTGCTTCCTTCCCTGATCAAGTGACCTTTTGGGTGGGAAACTTCAACAAGCTTTACAAGGGACGGGAGCACTCCTGGGAGCCTAGAATTTTCTTTAAATAGCTTGCTATCTCCTCTCCATGCTAGGCCTGCTAAACTGCAGTCCCATGTGGGACTGCACAGAATCAACGACAATGAATTTTGGCTTAATAATGCTGCACGTTATTTCCCAATTTTCCATTAAACCTCAGGAAAACCTAGTATAAATGGAAGTTACCAGTACACTGTCTAAAATAAACTTTTACTGGGTCAACCCAGCAAATGCTAGAAATATCAGAGGTCTATGCATCCTGATGATATTTGATATTTCTGGTAGACAGACAGTACAGTTTATTTGAAACTGAAGAAAACATGCAAAACACAACATACTTGAAAATTCTTCAAAGCCATCCCAAAATTCCTTGACACTGCCACTTGAAGTAATACTGTCTTTGCAATTCAAGATATCAACTTTGAGATCACCAAAATCTGAACTAATTAAGTCTGCCTTCCACAAACTGGCATTCAACTTCTTGTGCACACCAGACACTAATGCAGGCTGCAAAGCAAAACAGAAAAGTGGCAATAAGAAAGAATACTTTAAAAACAAACTGGGACACAGAAGAAATCAGCTTTGAAATTACTTTTTGACATCTTGTATGTACAGTACTTTCCAATATTTCACATCAATAACTGCTAAACAGCATTCCAGTCATCTACATCATCATTTGTATCTGTGAGAATTTTCACTAAGCATGCACAACCTAAATTAACTCCTGCAACTTGTCTCAGTTCATAAGTTTTCTCATTACTTTATGATCTCATTTAATTGCAGCTGATTTGCAAATTGAGTTTACCTCAATTTAAACACTTGTAGCATGTTTTTCCCCTATATTTCTTTAAAAAGTTCAAATTCATCAGAGGAGGCAGAACAGATCCATTTCGATCTTCTGGTGTTCCCTATACCCAACAAGCTGCTCCTGAAGACTGCAAGACCCTTATGAACAGCATGCAGGGGGGGTGGGGGAGGTATCTCTCTAGCTTGAGTAGAAAATGGCAGGAAACAAGGACAAACCTTGTGTGATGAGAAGTGCTTTATGCATCTGCAAGAGCACATTTGAATGAAGGACAAATTTTACTGACGTTTAACAGGAACTACATAATTAGGTCCTACATAGAAAAGCAACTGATTTAGCAGAGTGCAAACATAGGATGTATAACAAGTATTAAGCACTCTATACATTCAACTTTCTAAATGGGAATGCAAAAGCACAGTTATTGGGGTACTATTTGCATGTATGTGCCTATAAAAGAGGTACCAACATAGTAAATCGTCATTCTAAAAGTGATAATTTAAAATGGTTCATACTTAGACTATTCATCAAATACTGAGATTATCTCAGTTATTATGATGTCATGATTTCAGCTTCTTTGCTGATCAAGATTGGTATGAGAATGCAGTGGTTGGCCACTATTTTCAATACAGATCAAGGTAATATTTTCCTGGTTGGATGAGGGCAAGGGGATGGGGAAATCCTTTCCTTCCTCTCTCTATTGCTGTTAAATTGCCTACCATGCAGTCCTTTGTTAGCCCTTTTTAGGAAGCTAAAGCATACTTTTAATGCATACCTTCCCGTGTTTCCAACAGTCTCTGAATAGCTTCCAGCATTGCTGTTAAATTGCCTACCATGCATACTTTTAATGCATACCTTCCCATGTTTCCAACAGTCTCTGAATAGCTTCCAGTTGTTACAGTTTTTATGGTCTCGAAGCCACAAAACATGTTTGTCACAGATCCACGAATGTGGAACATCACTGTACAATATACTGCAGTCATCTGCAGTGAATTTTCTGTCATCCTTTGGCTCATCCTTCCCTTCAGATTTCACATTTATCTTTGGTGTTCTGTTTGGTGGAATCTTGTTTTCTACAACTGAAGCAATTATGTCATCAAGAATGTTTGGCATAGTCCTTCCACCTTTGCTATTCTATTGGAAAAATAAAATGAGGACAGTAATGCTTAGTTTTACTACTGGAAACATCATCACCAAGCTTGTACAAAAAGTTATTATGATAACAATTATAAACAGTGCATCCCAAAATAACTATAATACTATAATACTGACCATTAAAATACCATACAATATTCGATTAAAATACAACAATATCTAATAACGTAACTCCCAAATTGACCAACAAACCCCAAGGCCCCAGAAGCGCCTGTAGTACATGCTCAGATGGATCAGGAAGTACAACAGTACATCTGTATACAGACAAAGAGAAGTGGGGTGAAGCAAGGGAGGCCAATGGAATGGACATCCACCACCTCACTCAAAGGCCTCCCAGAATAGCTCCATTTTACAGGCCCTGCGGAACTGTAATAGGTCCTGCAGAGCCCTGATCTCGCTTGGGAGAGTGTTCCACCAGGCTGAGTCCAGGAATGAAAAGGCCCTGGCCCTGGTCAAGGCTGTCTTCGGGGCTGGGGACCACCAAAAAATGCTGCTCCAAGAAGCATGAGGCTCGCCAGGAAACATAAGGGGAGAGCTGGTTGTGCAGATATGATGGCCCCAGACCGCATAGAACTTTGAAAGTTAATACCATAGCCTTGAACTGGATCTGGTATTCAACTGGAAGCCAATGCAGCTGACACAGTACTGGTTGTATGTGTGCCTGCACAGACAACTCAGATAGGAGGCAGTCCACTTCATTTTGCGCCAGCTGAAGTTTCCGGGTCAGAGTCAAGGGCAGCCCTGCATACAGCGAGTTGCAGTCTCAAGGTGTCCATTGCATAGATCACTGTGGCTAAGTTGCAGGATAAAAGGTAAGAAACCAGTTGATTGACCAGCTGAAGATGACCTGGCAATATTGGTGACCTGGACCTCCATTGAAAGTGAGCCATCCAGTGTCACATCTAAGCTTCTACCACTGGTGCTGGTGCTAATGGCACCCTGGCAAGGGTTGGGAGGTGGATGCTGCATGCCAGTGGGCAACATGGCAAGACCCTCTCCCCAAGCACCACCCTCTGTCCCCGACCATGGAGAAAGAAGACTAGCCACTGTAATGTGGTCCCTCTTATCCCTGTATCAGCAAGGTGGTGGGTCATAAGATCATAATCGGCCATGTCAAATGCTGCCGTCAAATCAAGTAATAGTAGCGCTGACCCACTTCAATCCAGATATCTCTGGAGGTCATCTGTGAGGGCAATCAGTGTGGTCTCTATCCTGTAACCAGGATGGAAGCCGGACTGGAATGAGTCCAGGACAGAGGAGTCATCCAGGAAAACCCCACACTTCTATTAGGAAGATCATTTCACATGCAAAACAGAATTGTTCAGGAGGGCATTCTTGGAAAGGAGGAGCTGTGATGTAAAAGATCAGCTCAGGAAGTGACCTCTATTAGGGATGTTGTTGTTGTTGTTCAGTCGCATAGTCGAGTCCAACTCTCCGTGATCCCATGGATCGCATTACACCAGGCCCTCCTGTCTTCCACCATCCTCCAGAGTTTCATCAACTTTATGTTTGTTGCCTTGATAACACCGTCTAACCATCTCATCCTTTGCCGTCCCCTTCTTCTTTTACCTTCAGTCTTTTAGTCCCTTATTTTACTCCCTTCTCATTTGGTGACCAACGTATTTGAGCTTTAGCTTCAGTATCTGGCCTTCCAGGGAACAGTCAGGGTTGATTTCTTTAAGGATTGACTGATTTGATCTCCTTGCATTCCAAGGGACTCTTCTCCAGCACCATAATTAGAAAGCATCTATTCTTTGGCGCTCCGCATTCCTTATGGTCAAAAGTCGCAATCTTTCTATGAAGGGGAGTTATTAATAGTGGGGGTTTTTAATACTGATATTTCGGAGAACAAAAAATTGAACTTAAAAAAATGGAGACTTAGAGAGATACATGATATTTTGCAAAAGGAAAAGCAATCTACTTTTTTTTCAAAAAGGTATAAAAAGTTTTCTTGTATAGATCATATATTGATAAAAGAAACTAATGATATGAGAATTAGTGGGGTGGAAACAGGGCCGATATGGATCTCTGATCATGCACCAATTACCATAGAGGCAGAACTGAATGAGGAAAGAAAGGTTAAACGATGGAGATTTAATTCTAAAATATTTTTTCAACAAAAGGATAGGGAGGATTTATTAAAGGCGGTGGAGTATTATTTTAAGGAAAATAGGCAATCTGCAGATGAAGATATAATATGGGATGCTGCAAAGGCAGTTATTAGGGGGATATGTATTACAAAAGAAATCCAGTTTAAGAATGAAATAAATATTAGAAGAGAGCAAAAGTTGAAGGAGATGTTAGAACTCCAAAGGAAGTTACAAAAGAAATATGAAAAACTAAATAAGTTGAAAAATGAACTACAGGAAATGGACCTTACCTCTATGTGGAAAAGAGATGTATTGGTGAAGAATGAGTTTCAGAGAAGTAATATAAACTCAAAGAAGAGGTTGGCAAATTATTTGAAGAAAAGAAGGGAAAGGCAGAGGATAGGATGTATGAAAAATGAAAAGGGAAATAAGGTATTTAAAGATAATCAGATAAGAGAGATTTTTGTTAACTATTATCAAAGGTTATTTAAAGCAGAGGAAAGTAAACAATTTGATGAAGTTATAAGGAATAAAGTTAAAGAAGAGGAGCTAATAGAACTAAATGATGTTATTACACAACAAGAAATCTTAAATGTTATAAATAAATTAAAAATGGGAAATCAGGTTTGGACGGATTTACAGCAGAATTTTATAAAACGGTGGGAAATTTGATAGTTCCAGAATTACAAAGGTCATTTAATAAAATTTTGAATAAAGGAAAAGCTCCAGATTCGTGGAGATCAGAAATTATTACAATTATAAAACAACAGAGAGATCTGGAGGATCCTAATTCTTATAGACCAATAAACTTGGCAAATCAGGATTACAAAATTTTTGCAAAGGTCTTAGCAAATAGATTAGAGAAGTTATTACCAAGATTAGTATGAGAAGATCAATATGGCTTTGTGAAAGGAAGATATACAGGTCACCCTATAAGGAATATGATTAATGCTTTATATCATGGGAATAATAATAGGAAGATGGCTCTCTTGAAATTGGACGTATATAAGACTTTCTGCCATTAGAGTGGTATCGTCTGCATGTCTGAGGCTGTTGATGTTTTTCTCGGCAATCTTAATTCCAGCTTGTGATTCATCCAGACCAGCATTTTGCATGATGTACTCTGTATATAAATTAAATAAGCAGGATAACATCCTTGTCGTACTCCTTTTCCTATGCTAAACCAATCAGTTGTTCCATATTCGGTTCTGTCGTTTCTTGATCTCTCAGGTTTCTCAGAAGACATGTGAGGTGGTCTGGTACTCCCATCTCTTTAAGGACTTGCCAGAGTTTGTTGTGATCAACACAATCAAAGGCTTTAGTGTTGTCAATGAAGCAGATGTTTTTCTGGTACTCCCTTGCTTTCTCCACAATCCAGCGAATGTTGGCAATTTGATCTCTAATTCCTCTACCTCTTCAAAACCCAGCTTGTACTTTGGGCAGTTCTCTATCCACGTACCGCTGAAGCCTAGCTTGTAGGATCTTGAGCATGACCTTGCTAGCATGTGAAATGAATGCAATTGTGCAATAGTTTGAACATTCCTTGGCATTGCCCTTCTTTGGGATTGGAATGTATACTGACCTTTTCCAATCATGTGGCCACTGTTGCGTTTTCCAAATTTGCTGGCATATTGAGTGTAGCACTTTAACAGCATCATCTTTTAGGACTTTGAATAGCTTAGCTGGGATACTGTCATCTCCGCTAACTTTGTTGTTAGTAATGCTTTCTAAGGCCCATTTGACTTCAGGATGTCTGGCTCGAGGTTAGTGATCACACCGTTGTGGTTGTCAAGGACATTGAGATCCTTCCTGTATAGTTCTTCTGTTTATTCTTGCCATCTCTTCCTAATCTCTTCTGCTTCTGTTAGGTCCTTACCATTTTTGTCCTTTATCACGGCCAGCTTTGCATGGAAAGTTCCCTTGATTTCTCCAATTTTCTTGAAGAGATCTCTAGTCCTTCCCATTCCATTGTTTTCCTTTATTACTTTGCATTGTTCATTCAGGAAGGCCTCCTTATCTCCCCTTGCTATTCTCTGGAAATCTCTATCAGGGATACTATGTTTTATCTACCAGTTCTTGAATCCCTACCCCAATGCATTATGTTGTTTTACTGGGAATCTTTGCTATTAGACTCAGATGTTACCATGTTTCGTAATCTGTTTATTGAATGACTGAATAGCTTTGTTTTACTAGGAATCTCTGCTGTGAAATTCAAACAGTGTTATCATTCAAATGTTATATTTTGTAATCGGGTTACTGATTGACTAAGTAGCTCTATCATATGCATAAACTGCCTTGAGTCCCAGTGAAAAAGAGATTATAAATGAAAATAAATAAAACATTACAGTAGTTAAGCAATGATTCACCGAGCACTTAAACTGGCATAATCCCATTTATTATTATACTTGCAATAAGAGACAATGGAATTACAATGAACTGAGTTGCTTGTGTAATGTCTGTTATTGATACACAGCCACTGCTTAAAATTTTGTTAACATGTTTAGAATATAATGAAACCAGTCAACTCAGGTAAATACATGTGGTTCTTTGCTTTACATATTCAGTCATAAACCTGAGGCACTAACTGTGCACACCAAAGGGAATCTGGACTTGTGTCTCAAAGTTCAGCTCTCTGTGCTACATGGGAAACTTCTTCTGAAGGGGGGGTCCAAAACAGTTTGAGATACAGCATGCAAAAGAGAGATCCACAGTTAATTTTTTTCTAATTCCAGTGGGCATGCCCCAAAGAATTCTTTGGATCCTGGACAGTGACAAACTGAATACTGATGTTGGCTGCATTCAGATTACCATACAAATGATAACCAAGAAGTTCTTACACTCATGAGCTCTGCACCCTGTCCTGTTTCAGTTTATGGACTAATGACTTTAGTGTTTGCAACAAACTGCAGTTTATCATGACATCTGAATCAGGAGCATTAACAAAATATAATTTGTTTCATGCTTAAGATTCTAAATCATAATTATTAAACCAGAATACTGAAAACAAACAAAAAATGACTATTTAGTAAAGTTATCTGATTTGGCTGTCATGATAAACTGTAATCTGGTTTGTTTACTTCATCTGAATGCAGCCATTTATCCACTTTTTTCTAAGCTATGGTATTATTAGACCCTTTGTATTCAAGTGCATCCAGAACATAACAACTGGTAACATACTTACTGCAGTTCCTGTAGAATAAACTGGAGCAAAAGCAATGCCAGCATCTGTAGAACCAAGACGTAGTTTGCCAGCTGTTGTGGTCAACAAGTCTCGTAACGTTGACCCCTGCTCACTATTCTGAGACAAAGGAGTTGAGGTCTTGCAGTTAAGAGATTCTGAACTGTCTTGATCCTGTTCTTCCTTGGCATGTTTCCCAAGTGGGCAGTCTTTGTTTTCTAAAATAAAACAAGTTTGATCTTGCATTAAGCATGACACAAGAACATGAACAGTGACAGCCTGCCTTTGATAGTAGTGGCAATATACTTTTTAGCACTATTGCTTGATTCACTTGAACAAACATCAGAGAATGAATTAGATCCTTTCAAAAAGGAATCAACATTATCCAACCATGTAAAAGGCATCCTCAACCTCACAGACATGGAGAGCTGAGTTTTAGCTACATCTTTCATTTGTGATAGGTGCCTTCTGCAACTGGTTCTTCTATCAATATGCAAGAAATAACACCTGTCATTTTTATGGCACCAAAAGAGGGCATTAAGAAGAAGAAGAAGAAGAAGAAGAGAAGAGATTGGATTTATACCCCGCCCTTCACTACCCAAAGGAGTCTCAGAGCGGCTTACAAACTCCTTTCCCTTCCCCTCCCCACAACAGACACCCTGGGAGGTAGGTGGGGCTGAGAGAAGTCTGACAGAAACTGCTCTTTTTCAAGAAAAGCTGAGCCAGAACTATGGCTGGCCCAAGGTCATCCAGCCGCTACAAGTGGAGGAGTGGGGAATCTAACCCGGTTCTCCCAGATTAGAGTCCGTGCACTTAACCACTACACCAAACACACACACAGCCAAATAATATGATTTTCCATATGTATTTATGGGAAATGTCAGGCTGCCAACATTGACATTTACCACTAATTTTTAACATTTTGACAAGGGTGTGGAAAATACAAAGAATTCTGGGGTTTACCAGGAAGTCTCAAGAGTCATCAAGTACTTTTCACTAATGCAGGTGCAGGAAG